CCCCCCCCCCCCCCCACCCCAACTCCTCTAGAAATTCAATTAAGCTTCATACATTTCAGCCTTTACATTTTTTGGTCTAACATAAACTGCCATCCCCACAATCCCTTCTGCAGGGGGAGTATGGATATTTTCTGGAACTCTGCACAATGTACAAATGTTGCACTTTATTAAACTACGAACAATCAATCAAGCGATAAGGTCATTTCCACACATTCTGGGAAAAGTCACATGTCCCTAAACAAGGTTATCAATGGTAACACACAGATGCTCTCTATCATTTTTTCCTTTCGTGGAAGGCTGCTGTAATAACACAGGCCACGTAAAAGTATAATCTGTGATACCACACATGAAAATGTCCAGAAAGTGATACATAGCTGATCTATCAGCAGATATGGCCTATCGTGGTGATTCAGTTCAACCCAACATTCTACGTCCCAACACAGTAAAGTTTAATTATGTGTAAAATTTTTATGTCTCTACTTCAGACTGCCAAACGGACTACTGAGACCAAACGGCCTCAGACGCCTTTTTAATTAGCACACTTAAAATGTGCGGAATTGGCTGTGCACGGTATGAAAAAAGGCTCACTTACAACGGCTGAGAAAGGGAAAATAACTTAAACGTGTAAGCTTACATGCTTCAACACACCTTCAATTAGGATGGAAAATGTCAGAAGGACGACGTTTATAAATGCCATCGAGGCATTTCCGAGCTCAGATTGAATCCAAAAACAACTTTTTAATTTTTTGGTAAGCTTTTTTCTCCTTTTCTCGCTGAAAGTAAGATGTGTGCTGCTATCCCAGTGCTGTACGTAAAGTGTAAAGTGACTTCGAAAGCAAGGCAAAGAAGTCAGCTGTACTGTTTCTACGTTTCCTTCACCAAGCAATCCACCTACCTGCTAGCGATCGTTAAAAGTTTCTCCCTTATACTGTACAATCTCTTTTCTCGTGTCAGGTTTCGTTTGTGTACATCAATAAATCTTATATAAATGCTTCATCCACGTTTGAAAACTGAAAGGCAAGCTATCGTTTATAGACTCCATTCCCCCAACTCCGAGGGACTTCCCCGTTCTAGTTTTGAGCTTTCTTATTGGACAAGAACAACCATGTGATCAGACTGGTTTGGTGATGTAATGATCTAACAGTACAAAAATAACTCACTCGCCGGAAGAGATCTTAGTTGCTTTTTGCACCTAGGGAAATTTCCCAGCGTTTCACTGTGTTGTACACAAAATTGAAAACAACAGCGCGAAAATGCTTGTGATGTAAGAATGATGAATACGCTGTTTATTCTGGAGGAAGTGGGAAGTCGACGATTGTGGAATGACCGATATGTTCCTAGGAAATTTCCCAACTACAAAGCGTCAAGTTCATCAGCAACCAACAACAGTTTTCTCTCAAGTGATATAAAACGTTGCTTTAGACTTTCCTGGAGTGATTTTAAAGCTTTGGTCGTTAATTTTAGGCTGAGCCGTAAACGTTTGAAGTTCTTTTAGTACTGCAAAAACCGTGTAAGTTCGGTCATTCTGGGGCTGACTGGAATCTTCTCCTCTTTTGTCCGTTTCCGAAAAGCTTTATAGGTCTTATTGCCCTTCCGAAAATCATAGCTGACCTTTTTTGGGGGTATTTACATTTACATTTACATCAATCCGAAAACAACAGGCATTAAATTTCTAAAGTTCACGAAAGTTGGAGGTAACAATTCCCTTAAAGTGCCACTGAAACGAAATTTTCGTATGTGAGATTTTTGCTTAGTAATAAAGTTTCAACCTTACTTGGAAACACTGCAATATTTTTTTTGGCATACGGTAAGCGAAAACTGCTTTTTCAGCCGTTCGAAGTTGGCTGGTTAAGCCCGAAATTAGCGGCCATTTTGGCGCGGCCAAAACAGCCTAGTGACGTCACTGGTTGTATTACTCTCAAGGCGCGCTGAA